AGTGGTAGTGATCCAGTGTATGCACCCAATGGGCGGTGTTTAATGTAGAGGGGCCCAATAAATAAAACGTGTATGCTTTAATCGGTTGTTGGCCGACAGGAGTGTCAAGCAAAGTTACCGGTGCACTTGTGAATTAATAAATGAGCAAGAATTTTCTTAATACAGATAGACGAAAGTGAATACTCGGTAATATAATAAAGTAAACATTACAGTACACATGTTGTATCAGGTGCATTTCTAAAACAAAAGAACAGCATATTTCTGAAACAAATGTAGGACATCAGAGTAATATATATCCAACACATAACAATATAATATAGGTACCATAAAACATACATCCCTTGCAATGATAGAGTGAGTTCTAGGTAACAATTTCTTCATTCTCTTCGTCAACAGAATCTCAAAAAGTTGTTTTAGTAGAGGTTTTACGGCGCTCGCAACTGCATAAGGTCATATGAGCACCAGAAGATTAGAGGTGTTACAAGAGACTAACAAACATAAAAAAAAGAAGAAGGGGAGATAAGGACAATAGACGTTTGATAGGAAAGAAGAAGCAAACCACACCAGAGCACTCGCTGACCACCCACTATTTTCTTTATTAGTGTGAGAATGACAAACAAATCTAAATAGAAAATTAAGAAGAAAGACGGCACAACCCATAGAACCGGCATTGGCACTAGAACTATCAGTCTATGTCTACTGCCTTGTATAACCTGAATACTGACAACTACATTCACGCCTCCCTCACCCCCCCCCCTCTCCCCAACCACAAAACACTGCTGAGTACAAGTCTAAAATTGATTAGCATCAAGCAAAAAACAACAACATAACAACTCTTTTGTTGTCCAATTTGTAGAAAGACTACACACACCAGAAGTCACAGCACAAACATTTCCTGAGGCGTCACATTGTTAAGTAGAAAATAGTGTTTGTTAGAATCTTTCCCGACAACATTAACTCCTTATCCCCGGCAAGCCGCTCCCAGCGACTCGTGGTTGGAACCACCGTGTCAGTGAGCAGCAGACAACTGCTCGGGCACATTCTGTTACGACGACTTCGACATCAAATTACTTTTCGGCAATTGCCAAAAACAGGTCTCTCATACCGGAAGTTCATTTATTAGATGGAGAACTATCAAAATTTTTATAGGTTTGCTAGTTTCGATTTAATGACGTTTTAGTCATTTTTAGATTTAACACAAAAAAGGGCACCTGCGTAGAGGGTTTACCCCCCTCGGAGATAAAGAGTTAAAGAATTATTACTACTACAACAAGGAGATCTCACCGTGGCCTATAAGTTTGCAAATAAGATATATAAATATAAAAATAAAAATAATCCTACCAGACTAAACAACTTAAGGCGAAAATCTGTTAATGATATTTGTGTTTAACAACATAAATATTAGAACTACACTGCATGCCCAGTTTCTGTTAAATCACATGCATACAGAACAAATTTAAGAAAACAACAGATCAACTGTCTTTGCAGGAGTGCACAGCAGAAATTACTTAAGATGAAGCTTGGGGAAAACCAAAAAAACCCCCAAACAAACCCTCTCATCAACACAGCCACAAACGTCTTTTTTGGGGTTCAGTTTCCACCTCACTTTCCACTATGGGAATACAAAATGGGCATCACAGGTATTTTAAAAGAAAAGTTCAGTTTAGGTAGAGAACAATTCGAACATACAGCATGAAGACAGGCTTGTGAATATATGAAAAAAACATGTGCAAAGTTTTTGTGAATGTCCTCTATATGTGACAGCATCAAGTCAAAACTAATATATATTATCTATAATATATGGCAAATGGTTTTCATTTCAGAAGGGACTAACTTGAAACTCAACAAAATACCATCTGGGTGACCCGCAACACAAAAATTGAAGTTTAAGAAAGAAAAAAAAATGTTCAAAAAGACCAGCTTGTGTCATTGTTGAAACTTTTAAAATCGAGAAAATTCTATCCAACTTGCAGCAGAAATTTCATATCTTTGAACTTAGAGGTGAAACTGTAATCTCATTCACAAGATCACGGCGAAAAAAAAAAAAAATGGGTTTCAAAATGAAATTCCTAAACTTTAATAGCAGAAAGGGAAAAAAAAAGAAACCCACACACATGAAAGGAAGAATGGCTGCACAGTGTGAATAGCAAAGTAAATGCTACTATTCATTAAAAAGCGCCAACAACATGAAACAAAATCAGTGGAATGTTATCCTTTCAATCAATAACAATTTTGATAACAGACTTCGGACCCAGAGATGCCAAACAACTCGTTGACCCACATCTGTGCGACTTTAATCATGGCTATCTTAAGGAAAACTCTTACCTCGTCTTTTTAACAGCAGCAATGATGTTTACTTTGACAAAAATGACAGTGGGAAAAACAAGAAAGCCTTAAATCACAAAATGTTTAATTTATATTAAATGCAAAGGAATAAAATATTTCCAATTTACATGACTGTACACAGAGTTACAACAATTTGAGAAAGAAAAAAATAAAACCCAACCAAAAAAACTTCTCAAGAACCATTGAAACGACTCATGCCCCCAACCACCACCTCTACTACTGAACTCTAGGAGTATGGTCTGCTTTGTGCCTGCATGTTAATGAATTATTCAGAGGGAATATTCTATCCTTAAGAAAGAGAGACCTGGCAGGAGTACTGAACTCTGGTTTTAGGTGGGGGTGGATGGGTTTACAGAAGACAGAGGGCCTAACCATTAGGCCAGAGACACTGGTATGCAAATAGGAATGATTAACATTCATATTCAATCTTCAAAATATTGAATTCCCGATTGTTTTTTTAATGAAATTACATCCCCTTATTACCTTTAGCTACCATGTACCACATGCATGAAGACCACAGTAAAATTTAAAAATAGCCAATTTTTTAGGCATTAAATTTTCATCCAGTGATGTAATAAGTTTGACAAATCTTTAAAAATCAATCTTCTCCTCCCTGGTTCATTATGATATGAAAGAAAGCATATTATAAAATAGACAAATGACACAATTATGCTTTACAATCTATTACTATAAGACTAACAATTAGCACAAGCTTTGTCTGAGGTGAAGGGGTGAAGCACGAGGAATATTTGTTCGACTGAGAGCACATTTAACGTGACAGTGATAGCGGTCGATTTGTGCGGGGGAAAGCAGGACAGAAATGGCAAACAAAAGGACAGTCATGAAGTAGCTACCACAAACCAGCCAAACAAGGAATATTCAAGACAAACCAAAAACAAGGCTTAACACCACAAAAATAAAATTGTGAACACAAGGTTGGTCAAGACCATAGACATGATGTTTCATCTGGTCGATGCACTGTAAGCCAACAGAGAATAGATATTTAGGAACAGGCGTATAATGTTAATTGAGCTAAAGAAACAGGGAAAATGAACTTGACAAAGAAGATGTTTAGTATAGACATGGAGAAATGGAGGGTCATCCGAGTAAAAAGTCGATCTCAGAGAGGACAGAACCAAATGGGACATTCGCGTAAAGTGCCTTTTCCCCAAGGACATAATGTCAAACTAAGCTGAGGCTGGATGTTTAGTAAAATCAGTCAGCCTGAAGTCTTATAAAGGCCTAATAATGTCAATATCATTCTGAAAAGAACGTTGAAAACAAATGGAGCACTTCTTTGAAAGTGAAAGATTGAGAGCCTGATATTGGCAGCTTAAAAACTAGAAGCAATGTAGGCCTACAACTGTGAAAAGTCCTAGCTTCATCACCACACAGAATCAAGCTATACAGACATTATTCAAATTCATACTTATACTTTCTGTTAATCAGTCCTTTTTGTAAAGTTCCAAACTGTTTCAACAAGACAGACAAACAGTATAATCAGAAGCAACTACGTAACAACTGTTTGGAAGCAAAAAGCATCTTCTATCATTAAAAATAAAGTGGAAATTCCACCACTTTATCTGTTTATTTTCAGTGAATACAAAGATGTGAATATGAAAGACTGCAGTCTAAAGCTGTGTACAGAGAACCCGAGACAATCATGCTTCAATCTTCATCATGAACGGCCTCCAAGAAGACAATGCTCATTCCTTGAGTTCAAATCAAAAGAAGCTCCTTTAGAAAAGCTCCAAAGTAGAGCCGTTTCATAGTGTCTCACCTTGCCATGTGCATCTCTTCACAGGTTAAAGTTATCATTGCTATGGGTACTGGAATATCAACGACAGGAATTGTTGTGGTAACCATGAGGTTTCACTTCTTGAGAAGGCCAACAGTCAAGAACAACATCATTATCATACAAAAAACACGCTCAAAACAAAACGATGGAACAAGGGTTAGTTCTTCCACAGACAACATCTCCAGCTATTTTCTGACGCAAACATCTAACTTTCCCCCAATCCCACAAGACACCATAACAAAACTAAATGATTTTTCTTCAATACTTCACACAAGGCGCCCGTCTCCAAAGCGGAAAGTCTGGTTTCGAGCCTTGGTTCAGACACAGATTCCCCCCCCCCCCCCCCCCCCCCCCCAGTATTAATGGGTACCTGACTTTGAGTTGGGGAAGTAAAAGCGGCGTAGAACGGAACTGGCCACCCTACCACAATCAGGAAGTTGTCTCACTAACAAGGCAATCCCCAATGTCCGGATCGGATGCGGGAACAACTTTTACTTTGCACAGGGGAATTTCTCAATAATACAATTACAGAAAAGAAATGTCACTGGCATAGGTGACAACCTAAGTATAAAATGTTTCTGATGTTTGTTCAATACACCAAATGTAAGCACAAAATGCATTACATACACTTTCAGCTACTTCATAAATATATTACTGTAACACCCACCAGAAAAAATAATGCTACTTTAATTCTAGTCTCAGAGAGCAGAAAGAAATTCCTACTTTCAACAACACTGAATGAACAAACAGATTAATGGCTTTCTTGTGCTGAAAGACAGCAGTCTGGTAGCCCAACAAAACAACCCAAAGCCATTTAACATTCCATAGTACATCATTCTACACAGAAGCAATACAAAGTTTCTTCTTCTGGCTTTTATTACCTGTTTCTTTCAGCTCGCCTCCTCCACAAAATTTCCATAGACATTTGCATTTGGGAAAAACAAACAGTATCTTACAAAAATGTACATTTACAGCTAAATCATGTATCAACAAACATAAATGTAAGCCTGAGCACCTCTCTTGGGCCGAACTTCCATTGGGGGGGGGGGGGGGGAAGGAAATGGTCAAGTTAATGACCACAGACTCAATTAAAAGTCAATCAATTTCAGTGAGATGGCATTCAGAACTGAAAAGGGGTATTTTATTCGGATGTGTGCCTCAGCAACACACACACCAAGAGCGATACAACATCCCAAAAGAAAGACTGACATACTGTATATAAATTCTCCCCACTCGTGAATTGAATCTAATCGCTACACCACCCTACTATACCAAAGTTCAAGTAGTATTTTTTCTTCTTTTCACCAGTGAGAGTGAACAACACAGACAAGAGAGGTGTTCAGGCTTCAATCACATCATCATAGCAGCAGCCCAGCCCAGCCAAGCTCCCCCCCCCCCTCTCTCGAGTGAATACAGAGAGGAGGATCGTCAAATCTCCCTTGGTCCTGCTATAAAGCACTTTATCTTTATTAACACTTGTGACGTGCAGTCCTGGGGAGGGGGACCGGGGACCGGGAAGGAGGTGTTTGACACGCAGGAAACGGTGCAGAAAAACAGAAGAGAAAGAGTTAGGCTGCTCAACCAGAGGACAACGGATTGCATCTCAACTTGGAATAGATAGTATTGCGTCACAAAGCCATATCATATACACAGTGGAAGACTAAGCAAATGAGCGGGGGCAATCATTCTCATGAATGTACAGGGGGGGGGGAAGAGGAGATAGAGAACCATTTGTGCTGTACAAAAAGCGCCTATATCGGGAACACACCAAACATGCACATGACCAGCTATTATGAAACAAAAACCAAATAAGAAATTTCCCAACTTTGCATTATAAACATAAAAGTATAAAACAAGAAATATTGGTATACATTTCTGAATACAGTCAAATTCAACCCAAACATAAAACAACAGAACAACCTCTCAAAAGGGCCACAGACAAAAAAAGATCAAAAGACTTACATCATCTTAGCGTCTTATTTCATAAAGACTTTAGAGCAAAAACTAATACGCAGTTACTTTAACCCATTCACGGTGTAATTTTCTGCCCTCTGGGGGACATACATTTTTTTCTGCACACATTCTGTACATTCATTTAGTTTTCTCTGATGATTCACCTACATTATGACATATATTTAAAAAAGTAAAACATATTTATCAAACCGCGGAAATTGAAAGGGAGATTTGAAGAAAAAAAGAACTTTTTGTTAGTAAAATGGGTATCATTTCATAAAGTCTGGACTCTAATAATCTAGGTATTTACAGAGGCAGATACTCAAGTCGATGATACTGCTCTCAGCAATGGTGACAAAAATATTCAGCCAATCAGTCGGCGCATTAATAAAGTAACAATTTCAAAAAGTTCAACTGGGTGTACACAAGGAAATAAAAAAAAGAACAGTTTGTGGCAAAGTCTAAGACAAGTAGCATATATGACATAACTCTCCACTAGAGAGCTCCAAAACTTGGGAGCCAGATTTGACAACAGTGTGGAAAGTGGACAAGCAAATTGGAATAATTCTTACACAAAATACAACAGCATTTGTTGGCGATAGCTTGCAGGTTAAGAAATGTCAGCTGAGTGACCAACTTAAAGGGAAAGAAAAAAAAAGACAGGTAGGGAGGCAAGCCGAAAAGAAATGTGAAAATCATGGATTAAACAGCAGTGTGTTGAGATCAACTGGCAAGTCTGACATACAAAAGAAATAAATTAACCAGGCAATTACGAAGCCACATTAACAAATTTGTGCAGTGACACAGAGAAAGGGGAGGGAGAGGGAGAGGGAGAGGGAGAGAGAGAGAGAGAGAGAAACTTCACTTTATACTATCATTCTGAGAAGCCCAGAAGGTCAGTAAAATTGCCCAATTATATAAACTAACACATAAACCAAGTAAAATAAACACATGATCAGGATAAGGTAGAACAATACCACAAGCTTGTAGCATGTAAAGTAATCCTAAAACACGTACTGAGAAATCCACACGTGACTGATGAAGTACCAGAAAGAATCAATACAAAATGAGCGACATTTTGATGTGGTGTTGTTACTAGAACTAGTTGACCACACTGGTGACCATTAAGTCATGTAAGTCAGGTCCTCAACACGAGACATAATCTGTCAGACTAGACTAGCAAAGATTTTCAAAATTCCATCTATTCATGACTCATAGCATCCAAAACCCTTATATATCACTATGTTTTTTAAAAAACTTACATTTTAGAACATTTCAAATGCACAGGTCCCATACATTCTTGACAAAGAAAACCTTACCTCTGCCCACCTCTGGTGAGAAGCAACACCCTTCTCCAACAAACTAGAAAGTAGAACAATAAGCAGGGATGCCACTCAACTTTTTTGAAAACAGCTGAAAATCCACGCGCCACGGTCTCGGCAACATATGAATATCAATTTGAAACCCAAAGGGTGTACATAGAGAGAAACGACAAACATAAGCAACGGGTGTACAGCGAAGTCTTCCCTTTTCCGTTATTTGAACATTTGGCGCAAGTTGTTGTGTGTGAGTGGGTTTTTTTTTTTTTCCAACTATAGATTCTATCTCGATCTCAATAACCGAATAGCGGATCAGGATCAAAATACCGGAAATACCGGAAAAAAGTGCAAAAGTGGCATCCCCGAATAAGAGCCTGCTGTCATCCCGAAGAATCATAATGCCTATAATAATAAAGCTCAGACAAATGGAGCGTCAAGTAAAAAAAAAAAGAAAAGAAGAGAACTGAAAGGCAAAGGAGAATGAAAAACAAAAAAACCCCCCAAAGACTTTTACAATATATGAAAAAGGATTTGGCCATACATTTTAAAGCAGTTACACTGGGTTTTTAAAGATAGAATCATAATACACAGATACTGCACACTGTTGCCTCTGAAGTGCACACAAAAAATACATGTAAAAAATCTTGACATTATTAACATGGTAATGATAGTGAGCTCTAAACATCACAGACAGCATGCAACTATTTGGTCTACCTACAAAAGCCAACAGCACTCGCGCTCTCCTGAGACGACAAACAGCAGAACAAGACGATAAACAACACCTCTCTCATACAATACTGCTTTGGAAACTAGCAAGACCCAAATACACAATGACTACCAGCTTCACTGACTTCAGTCCATCAGCACTTGGCTAATTACAGCTATGCAAAAGCTTGTGAGAATATATATTTTTAGAAGGAGAGTCTGAAGCGAGGTTGTCAAGAATAAAAGAGACTGAAAAAAAATCTCAACAATATCGGAAAGATAAACTGAGTTGTACCCAAGCGTAACCTGAACAGATGAAAATGTTTCTCAGTCATTTGAAACTCGCTCACATGGGGGGAGACAAATGAAACGGAATGATGAAAATAACATGCTGATAAGTGAAATAAGCAGGAAAGAAATTAACACCACTGCCAATAGACTACTTGAGCATCAGTGGCAACCAAACAGTTCATCCATAAGGCTATGATGGAAAGCAGCACAAACCAGGACAGTGAACTGATGCTTGTAGAAACGAGTACCTTCTCTTCACTGCCCCCCCCCCCCCCCCCCCCCCCCCCTTTCCCAAAAAAAAAAATTTGCTCAAAACAAGACCTGAAAACTTTTCATTCAAGATTAAGGACTTCTGCGGAACCACAACAACTTTTCCCACAAGTCTAAAAATACTCGAAATGATCAATCACCACATACATTTTGAAAGAGACTTATTATGGTACAACATGGGTGCAGGGTCAGAGAGAAGGGATTCCACCACTAGCAGCATTGTTTCTTCTTCCCACTTCCCCCTTTGGCCGTCACTCGTATTGTACTTGGGGGCTGTTTCCGTGCCTCCTCTTGCATTTTTCTCTTGGACTCCAGAACAAGCTTGGTTATAGCCATAAACATCTGTAGATACAAAATAACAAGACAGGTATTAATTACACCGTGTACCACAATACTTCCTATACAGGCAAAGAGACATTTTTAAAGTACATTTTTTCACCACTTAGTGTTGGTCTCTCACATTTAAACCACAATATTGGGTGAAGAAGAAAAAAATATCCCAGTCATGCACCAAAACCAAATTTAAGAAAAAGAAACATTTGCCCATTGTGCGTTTTTCAACTTTATATAAATACCATAATAGAAAGGGGCATAAATTACAACCTTCAACCCCACCGCACACAGAACAAAATGTAAACCAAAACCAATCAACACCCCCCCAGGAAACAAATGAGTGCTACAGGCACATGTTGCTTACTACAATACCTCACTGCTTCAGAATGATACATGATGACTATCATATAAAGTTTCAATCAGACAGACATTCGTTCAATAAAACAGACAAGGTAAAGCATTTGAATCAGGACTTGAACATAAGCAGAAATAGACGAAGAAGTTTACCAGGGCATCACCAGAGGATTGGTAAGGCAAGGATACTTTCAAAAGTCAACTGCAGTTAACCCCTTTGTTACCTTATGACACACTTGGTATGTTAGGTAAATGTGTAATTTTTAGCTATGTACATGGACATCATGTAAGTGATTGCCAATGTGACGTTATACATACGCCATGCTAATTCCCTGGCTCTATTTCTCCTGTGCGAAGAATGAGCTACAAGCACAGCATGGACTCCTATTAGGGTAAAATATATGCATACTGGTACCAAATTTGCTAGTATTACTTTCTTGCTAGGCTTGCAAGTGATCTATTAACAAAGGCCTAGTCTGGCAGAGGATAGCTTGCCCTAGCAAAACGCAAACATCAAAATAACCTGAAAAAGGTTGAAAATTTCACTTTGTGTCTTAGTTTTGCAAGTTTTTCGAGAGTATGAGTAAGATTCGGGGGTAGGGGAG